AAGAACTCAACAAATTCAGAGTCTAAAAGTTCTAACAACTAGGGCTGAAATTTGGAGGTTTGATAGTAGAAAATGTAGGAAATCAAGGAGAATAGAATAAGAGCTGCCTCTTGGTGAGAGAAAAAAAAATTATGGTTCAAGAGAGAAAGGATTTGAAAATAAGAAAAAAACCTATTGGCATCACACCAATAGAAAACAAAAACCTATTGGAATCACTCCAACAGGGCCTATGTATCATACCTAGAGAAGGCCTCAAACCCTCAAATTTTGTGAATCACTCACAAAGGAAATTCAAAGATATTTTTTTATTTCATTTATTGACTGAGTAATAAGAATTACATTGTATCCTTTTTATAATAACTAATGACCCTTGGATTACCCTACAATGGAATTAATCAAAAGTTGACTCTATCTTAATAAAGCAACAAATAACTTAATTGATGCAATTCAATCTAATTGATGCAATTTACCAAAACAATGCAATTTCACCATAATTGATGCAAGTACCAAAATAATGCAATTTGACCAAACCCCCTAATTATGCAAGGCTCCAAGTGGACCCCCCCCCCCCCCCCCCCCCCTCGTTTAGCATGTGCCAAATTAAGGTTTGAGCCTTAGAGCCCTCCTTGCCACGCCTTTTATATACTTTAAAAGGCTGCTGCCACTGTCCTCTACTTGCTGCCACTTTTCTCTACAAATTCTCTCCGGCTTGGAAAAACTCGGCTCCGACAAATTAAAGGGATAAAATTGCTCATAAATGTGAAAAGAGCAAGAAAATTTCAGTCTTGTATTCAGTAATTTCCATAATTTGCACCAAAAAACAACGCATAAACTTCAGAGCTTGATCAGAAATAATAGTGTTGTGCAACCCATGAAGTCGAACAACTTCTTGAAAAAAAGGTTTGGCATCGTGGACAACATTGGAGGTCTTAGAACATAGAAGGAAATGCGACTTTTTCGAAAAACGATCCAAAACAATGATTATAGCATCATGTCCTCGACTAGTTCTAGGCAACCCCAGAACAAAATCAGCGTCTGACCCATCACCTCTGATAACAACTCCATGGCTGGTACCATGTTGAAAATCAATGCTATCCTTCCACGAATATATTCGAGCAAGAACATAAAGAGCAACCCAGTTGGTTCCATCTAGGTACTGTGCTCCCGAATCGAATAGACAAATGTTGTTTGGATAAAGTCCTAAACATGTTTTCTCCTCTAGTTTATAATGCATAATTGCTGCATTAGGACCAACTGAGGAAATAGTAGGAAAACTCAACCCTCTAAAATGCTCTTTTGATGTGCGAGACCCCTCTAGCTTATCACTTACAGGTTAGTTTCTTCTGGCAGTTGGTTTTTCCAGACCTCATCTACCAAGTTGGTGTCTATTTGAACCAGCTTCTGTTGCTTCTTGGCACAAGCATGCTCCCATTTCTTTGCAGTGCCCACTAATATGGTTTGATGGAAAATTTGAGACGCTTAACCATGGCTGTGGAGACAACATTTGGGCTACCACAGCCATCAATAATAGGCTTCCGAGCTTGGTTTCCACACTGAACTTGCATCTGAAAATTAGAGATACGTTGCTCATCTTCGTCTTCAATTTCAGGGTCTTGGATTTGGGCTGGGGAAAGTTTGGGACGCTTAACCATGGCTGTGGAGAGAACATTTGGGCTGCCACCACCATCAATAATAGCCTTCTGAGCTTGGTTTCCACAATGAACTTGCATCTCAAAATTAGAGGTCTGCTGCCCATTTTTGCCACCAACTTTAGGGTCTTCAAGGATGTGCGTCACAACGGAGATGGAGGAAACATTCTCTCCAACTTCTTTCACATGATCAGTGTTCCAAGTCTCACCATCAAGCAGGTGTTCACGATCCTTGCTAGCCATCGTACTCTTTCCTCCAGAATGAGCCATGTTATAGAAAGATGCATTTGATCCACCATTTAGCAGCATGGTGGTTGTCAGTGTGCTGTACGTTCCATCACTTTGACTTATTTGGAATATCTCCAGTGGCATTATGTGGTTCATGATGATTCACTTCTAATGGATTTCTTGGAAACTTCAACATAGGAGGTAGTGGTGGGTCAGCCTTCAATTCACGCCTTTGCTGGCAGTGTAAAGGCTGTTGTAGATCGCGATTTCTGCCATCATTAATACCAAATGCAGATCCTTCTTCAAGGGCTACCGATTTGTTAAACAGACGCAAAATTCGAGCTCCTATCTTATCGCATTGAGCATTCAACCCTTTAAGTTGTTCCAAAATATTCAATCTCCTGATTATCATCCAATGTTTCATTGCCCGATTGAGTAAACATAATGTCTAATTAGGCTCTGATACCAAAAACTGATGTAGGACAAGGGAGCAGCCTTAAATAAAACTGCTCCCTTGTCCTACATCAACGACCCCTGAAAAGCCAAGAGATGACCGGGAAAATTTCCTTTCCAACCATTTATTATTTTTTCAAAAAAAATAAAATAAAATAAAAAAGAAATAGAAGATTGGATTTATGCTCAGTCCAAATTAAATTCACAGTTAAGTAAACAAGAAAATGTTTTCTGTTCCTCTGAAATACATGCCTGAAAGAAAAATGTAACAATGGAATAGGGTCTGTACACATTCGGCTGCTGGCTTCGATGGCGAAATTAGAAGGGAGCTTCAGAATGAGAAGCGGCACAAAGAGGAGAAGATGAAGATGCAGAACGTCATTGGGCAAAGACGTTTACTAATGTTAGATATACACAAAGTAGTTTTGGTTATTTCTTTTAAGCGGTGACGTGGCATCTCTCAATCCATAGATTTAGGTAAAACAACATGTGTCAACACCTTATGAATTCAACCTAGGATAACTTAGACATATTTTAACTTACAGGATCCTAATCCAACCAGCTTGGGAGCACCTTTCCTCTTCACAAGGTTGCCAATCATTAATTTATTCTCCAAGTAACCTATCCCACTAAGAAGGTAACCATTGATGGTACTTTGGCTGGCCAAATGGCTTCTACGGAAATCCAACAATTCCCTTACCCCCTTAACTGCACAGAAATCCTAGAAGTATTTCACCACAAGCTTCCATTCCCAGCGATTTTCTACCACAAAGCATCCTCCCACAACTTAGACATGGAACTTAACACAGCAAGTCAAAAAAGGCATCTCCAGCAGAGGCCCAGTGAACTGAACATCCTAAAAAATTCCTATCTAGAAAGTGAACATAATAAGATAAAAAAAGCCTCCCTGTTTGTAAATTGAGGTACTAAATGGGAGTATTAGCATCAGGACATCAAGTTAAAAAAAAAACAAAAAAAAACCATCTCCTGTAGATGACCGATGAACTGAACATCCTAAAAAGGTTCTGTCTAGAAAGTGAACATAATAGCGAAAGTCCTTATTTGTAAACTTTGGGTATCAAATATAACTCCAGATATTAGCAACAAAAGGCTTTTTGCTCTTCTTTGCCTCAAAACCCGTTGAGGGTTAACATGAAATAGGTAGGCAAGCTGGCAAAGGGCTAGCCAATCCTTTTTGAGAATTAATACTTTTCCAGCCATTCAATCTACTTACAAACCAATGGCTGTAACCTAGTGGTATCTCCTACACCACTCAAAGTGAAAGGTGACGGTTCAAGTCCTGGGTGTGTGAGTTTCTTGCCAAGGAAAACAAAAAAAAGAAGAAAACTTAAAAACACTCCACTGACTTGCCTTTTGAAGGAATATCCCAAAGGCAGAGACGAGCCAGCTTTACAACCGAGATTCATCAACCACCGACTTCCGCCACCTCATATATGGAAATTAAATCACTATCGCTAATTAACTTAGTCTAGATATCGCCTGGGAAGAAACAGAACACATATAAGGTGACACAATTGGTACCCTAGGCGGATATTCCATTTATATACGGTATTACTCTTGTTAACTTAATTTTTCACCACAACCTCATCTTTATCATTTCTCCTAGCTCCTCCATAGACATGGAAAATGTAAGAGAGAAAAAGATTGAATAATTGATGAAGCTGAAGGGTGATTTAGGAAGGAAAAATGAATTAATAAATGTATAACTGCAATATAGGCTTAATGGAGGAGTGTGCCTAGTATATTGTGCAATCAATGCATCCCTATAAGATTGAAAGGAAAGTTCTATGAAACAACTATTACAACGCATCACTATAAGATTGAAAGAGAAGTTCTATGAAACAACTATTACAACGCATCCCTATAAGATTGAAAGAGAAGTTCTATGAAACAACTATTAGACCAGTCATTCTTTATGGAGCAAAATATTGGGCAGCTAAGAAATAACATATGCATAAAGTGAGTGTGGTGGACATGTAAATGTTTAAATGGATGTGCTACAAGGCAATGATAGAATTAGAAATGAACAATTTCATAAGATGGTTTAAGTAACTATCAATTGGAGATAAAACAAGAAAGAAAGAAGAAAAAAAAAAACTATTAAGATGGTTTGAACATGTGCAAAGAATTACAAGGTTTACATTGAGGGTAATGCTAGGGGAAAAGGAAGACCAAAATTAACATGGATAAAATAAGGAAAAAAATGAAAATATGTGGTCTGATTGAGAATGTGGTCATAGATAGAGTGGAATGACAAAAAATGATTAATGTTGGAAAAAGGCTTTATTGAGTTGACTTGATTTGTATGATCACAATAGAGGTTTACACCAGTGTGTCAGGAAAAAGTGGTGTATGAAGTCTTTAGGAAAAACAGGACAAATGAAATAGTCAATGTAGAAACAGGCGAGGAATAGGATGACACAGAAATTATTTGTGCATTTGAATAGCAAGTTCTATCACTCTTGCAAAAAAGTATCACTCTGTTTATTCACTGAAGCCAGAAAATGAGCATTCTCAGTAAGAATTTTACAGGTATACAGAAAATCTAGCAGAGAATAACCTTTTTTCAAGTCGTAACACAGACGTCTCAAAACTTTTAGATTGCAACAACAAAAAGTATAATGATGAGAAACAATAGGTAGCACTCACATGGAATAGAGACCGCCCAAACCATCCAGCAAATGTGCTAGGATTAAGAAGCCTGTTTCAAGAATGATAGTGATGTCAGATTATACACTAGCAGGAAGTAAATAGCCTGAGAAAGTAAATGACCCAGCTCCACATTCCCCAAGTTCTATATTTATTGTAGATTTACTATTAATGTGGATAAAAGAGCGTAAGAGGTCCAACCTCCCTGCTTGGCAGTAAAATAAAATTTGTGGGTGCTGCATCACAGTTCTTTCACTAAGATCTTTGTCAAGCACACTAACTAAGACAGGAATACTTGTGTAGAAAACATTATATGCCATCAGGCTGACAGAATTGAAAAGGCTGGTTCCGGAGACGCCTGAAATAAAAGAGAAACTGAATGTGCCTGATGTTAGTACATCAGAAAAATATAATTGAAAGTAAAAGTTATTATGAAAAACATCTATTGCAACATATTGCTATATCAAGAAGAACCAGAATAAAAAGAAAGTGGAACAAGAGAAACATAATCCATCAAAACTCACAAGATCTGGATGAAACATATCAACAGGGATTTATAAAAGGAATACTGGGATAGGAATGCTGTACGATTATATGAATACCGCCCATGGACAAGTATCAATCTTTTCAAAAACTTGAACTCTGCAGGACAACAAAAATAAATAAATCAAGAAATCAATATCTAGAACATCTAGTCCAGGCAAAATAGCGACTAAAACAACCAGACTGGTGCATGTGATGTAACTTAAGACTGACAACTGGAAAAAATAAAAAATAAAACTAGAAACAAAATTTCAAGAACATTTCTCAAGAAGAATATTAAGAACTTCTTAAAGGACATTTATATGAAATTAAAAATTTAGGTTCTCATTATATACAATACATCCCAACCATATATTTCAATTTTCTTGTACCTAAGCAAAAATTTTGCCGAAGCTTTCCAAATTCCCCAAGGACAACCCTATAATTGCAATGTTCAACTCCGAGGAAAACAGTTAGTGACAGCAAAATCACTTGTGCTGTAATTGAAAATGAATCTTGTAATAAAAGATATTCAAATTTTTGGAAGTGAGAAAAGTACGCTCATTGTATATCTTTTCCAAATATTATGACGTTATTGTAAATTAATGTAATGCAAACATACTTTTCAGTAGTAAACCGTAAACCTGAGAAGCATGCAAGATCACCAGTTAAACCAGCCTCAATGCACACAATAGTTACCAGCAAGTATTATGAATTCAAATTATGTTCATTTATGATTACAAATTAAAATGTTTCCTAATGCTGCTCAATTTTCTCCTAAAGTAAAAAAAATTGACACAAGTATCAAACTCTGTTCAATCAATATGCAGCCAATTAAAATAAAAAATAGAAAGTAGTTGGGGAAGACATATGTCAACATTCCAGGAATTTTTATATCATATAATGGTAGTGTATATACAAATGCCAAAGGGACACAGTCCATTGTTAGGATAAGAACACAATTGTGGCTGTTATCAAATTGAAGGGTCTAGGGTGTATGAGAGATGTAGTGTTCTAATGCAAAAAACCAAGAATAATTAAGACAGTCTTCATTCTACAATTATTTATCAATGAAAGAAGGACAAGAGTTTTGTTATGTTCATGAGGCAAAATAAATCAAATGAAATAAAAGTTAAACACTAACAAAATCTTTAAAAAAGGATCTGTATTATCATTCATATAAAAGGCCATCAATCAATATTCTTCCTGATCGCTCTCAAACTCAAACCTGCACTCTCAGGCTTGACAACCTAAGTTTTGACCATTAAGCAATGACCCAAATTAACTTCATGCGCACGCGCGCGCACACACACATATATATCAAATAACTTATATATATAGGTATAATATATGAAAGAATCTTAAAAAACTTACTGCCAATGCTATAATCAGCTGCCCTTGCTGCCTGCAATCCTTCTCTGCCACTAATGCCGACCCCAATGTCAGCTTGTTGTATCATCCTCACATCATTCCCACCATCCCCAATGGCCAATGTTCTATAGTCACAAGATTTTAAGAGCTCCACAAGCTGCAAAATGAAATAAGAAATGAATAAAATACTTGCCCTTTCTACACAAGAATAAAAAAAAGGAAAATATAAATGCTTGACAATAACACAAATTTAAGGAGAAAATATCAATCATGGTGATAATGTTCCACTCCACTCTATATGTTAGACTTTATAGTTAGTTAACAAGGAGAGAGCTGTATCTCAGGATAACTATCCTTGGAAGTCAAATAAGCTAGACTCCTAAAATTAGGAGTACTTCAAGAGTAGCAAGAAAACCATAAGTAGGAAACCAACATTTGAAGAACAAATATCCTGGTGCAAACCTTAAGAGCTCCGAGAACACCAGAAATTGATTATCTATGAAAATTATCATTTGCAAAAGTTATAACTAGCAACTATCTAACAAGCAGAGGGAATCATATTGAGAGGCACTATGTGTTTGAAACTATTTAAACAAGCAGTAAGAATCATAAATAAGAGGTGCTACCAATTTATAAACGTGACACATACAAAATAACACCAGTTTCTAACAAGGTATCGTGGTCACGCCCCACAAGTCTCCATCTGATAATGCTTTCAAGATTACAAGAATATAGCTGGTATTTGCCCTTTTCTAGTTTTAATAATAAACATCAATGGTGAACTAGGGAATTTCCCGTCTTTCTGCTTTATGCCATTTCTTCATCCAGCAGCCAAACTATATTTAAGCATGATAATTCTTTTGAATTAAACACGACCGAATCCATATGAAGTAAGATAATAATGTTTAAATCTAGTTTCATAGTTCCTCTTCGGCTTTTGTTCAATTAATTATACATAGAAATGATCCACCACTCATGGTAAGTCCTTTTCTTTCTCTTTCAAACAATACTGGTTTTGAATATCTGGAGGCAACTCTGGGAGCAGTCCAGTTGACGCTCTAAAGTCTGGAAACCGTTTTCAATTTCAAAAACAAAACAGAAAATTATCATTTAAAAAAAAAAAAATGAAAAAAAGAAGAAGAAGAAGAGTACAAAGGCAAATAGGGATGAAAATTCCTACAAGCATGAGAAAAGGAAGAACAGTACCACTACTACCAACTTGTGGGATCTTCATAACACCAAGTACAAACTGAATGAACCATTGATCAACCCCTAGATTACCCAGCACCAAAGGCACACTTCTTATGATATATTTAAGAAATTTATAAGTTTTTCCAATCTCAAATTTTATAAGTAAGCAGCTTCATCTGCCTGATGTCAGGTTTCTCCTAGGTTTCCACCATTTTTTTAATTGTTTGGTATGTGATTCACATATAACTCATTAGTACAAAAGCAAAGCTCTATACAGACGAAATAAGTAAAAAATTAAAATTAAAAGAAATGAAGCAACAAAAAGTATGGTAATAACACTAAACTCTGTAAGCCAAGAATTAGCACCTGTGCCTTTTGTGATGGTGTCACACGACAACATATAGCAGTTCTAGACAGTATAGCCAATTCTGTGAATGCTTTCCTGTAATGCTTAAGTGCAATTTCAAGAGCCCAGCCATCAACAACAAAAGCCACATCCTGTTATAAAAGAATGAAAGCATTTCAGAAGAACCTTTGAGGAAGCCTTTAGCAATGGAAAACTATAACCAAAAAGTTAAATTCAAAGAAAACAGTGCTTCCTAAAGACATAACTTAAGAGGTACACACAGGTACAGCAATCTGATTATTAACTGTCTTAAAACTACTCTAGTATTCTTTGTTCAAATATATACAAAATTCAAATATATACAAACTTTCAAATATATTAACTTAAGAAGTACACGTAGATATAGTCTTAAAACCATTATTAACTGCAGTTCATATATATTCTTTGTTCATGGACCACCTAAAGATCTAATAAACACTCATACTAAACATGAATACGCTAAAGCTGTACCTTTGGTTCTGAATTCGTGATTCTCATTGTACGTAGAACTCTCTCTAAGCTTCTACAGACTTCATCTTCAGTTTTACCATTAATTAAAAGAAGCTGGCCTTTAGGTTCTGTGAACAAGACACGAAAAAAACTGCAAAAAGTTAATGACAAGTAAATTTTGGTGACACATTTAATAATTAAATCATAATAATCCCAAAATGTTGGTAGGTTCCGTTCAATAGTATTCAGAATGATACTCCATAAAATGCATTTATCATTAAATATACATTAATACAGAGTTTACCATGCAAGCTATCAAAATACCAAAGTTCTAATTGGTCCAAGTGCCATTCATCTACCTTGTGTGTGTGTGTGTCCGAGAGAGAGACAGAGAGAGAGAGAGAGACAACAATAATTTATATTAAATGCAAGATTAATAGAGCATATCTAATCAACTAAAAACTGTTATATGACTGCTACCAATGAATACTTGCCTTCTTATTTGCATGGATAACCCAAGTAATGCAATTTATCAACGTTGTGTCCACGTGAGAATCGACTCATTTCACATTGTCTTGACTCACTACAATCCTCATTAGGGATGGTGACGGAGCGGAATTAGGAAGGGCACCCCTTTCCTGATGCTGCCCTGAGAGGAAGATATGACTCCCTAAATGCTCGGCAAGGCAGAGCAGGCCAAAATAGAAAATTTGATTGGAGTGGTGGGTGTCCCCAGGTTATCAAAAGCTTCTAACTGTGAAGGTAATTGGGACTTTGAACTGTATGACAGAACCTCACTTTAACTGCAAAATTCTGTGAACAACATTTTTCATAGGGCAGAGCATGCACAGCACCCACTTTCAGTGAATGATTGCGGAGAACACATCTGTTATAGAGGCAGATGCCCTTAGCTTTAGCTTCATCTTTGTGGTATAAGACTCTTTTGTACTTATCCATAACAGGATACAACATAGTTTCAGTTGTGTAACTGAAGCTCTCAGTTCAATTATCTGTCTGGTTTTTCAACTAAATTGAAACTTCAGCCGCTTTATAAATCTGTATCAATTCAAAGAATAAGGTGAGAAGTGGGGCAGATCTGTTCTTACTTGTTTCATAAAATACGAAACATTGAAGTGAAATTCACAGTTTTCCATAATTGGTTGGACAACACTGGAATCCAGTGCATGAAATTTCAAACCACCATAATGTTCCCATGAATTAATTCTGGTTCAAAAGCAACTAAAGATAATATATAGGAAGTTAGAGAGCTCCATAGTCCCAAAGTATCATGAGAAGTCCCCCCTAGAAGCTATAATGGGGGTTTAAGTCACGCTAATTTTAATTCCTAGGAACACTAACCATGACGTAACAATGCTCTTAGCTATACCTAATAAAGTAGAAAAAAAAGTAAACGCAAAATCTATGGGATCTTTTGCAATTTTATAAATTAATTCGAAAAATGTATTTTCAGAACTTCTACCAAGTGGTATCTTGCTTCATAACAATGCAGGAGCTATTTCGAACTTCCATACTGATTTCCTAGGATGAGACTAAGAGCACCAGCAGTCATGGAGGAGGTTTCATGAATTGAGCACAAAGCTGAAGTTGTAGAAGATTCTATTCCAACTTTGACAATCATGAATGATGATTTCAGTTATACCCTCGTATTCATGTATAACAAAACTGCTTGGCTGGCTTATCTTAATGGGGAACAGAACAGGGGAAACAGGAGGGCTACTTTGTGCACCACAAAAAAAAAATAAAAAAATTAGGACCTTCTTTATCAAATTTTAACAGCAGAACACATTTGCTAAAGAACTTTACTTTGATGTATGTATCAGGCATGAACGTGCATATACAAACTCATAATATTTTAGCCACTTAAGGTGGTAGCATCAAATATTATCCATGTGTCAGACCTCGTAGCATAATATTAGCATGTCTTTCAAAATTTTGGTACAGAGGGGATCAGCCTCTCTCATTCACATGAAGTTGTTCACCTAGAAAATTGGAAAAGAACTACTGGCCTATAAACAACATGTCCAAAAATATAGGAGCAGAGAAATATATGCTCTGAATTACCTGGAGAAACAAAATTGCATGAAAGAGCGATCTGTATGGCCGTATTTTGTTTGTCTCCAGTTAACATCCAAAAGTTTATTCCTGCTTTTCTAAGTGTCTCAATTGTTTCTGGTACACCATCCTGGAAAATGTTATAAGATAGCAAATGAAGTCTTTTCCATCTACCAGGACTAGTGAGGAATAGCTCACTACAAGAACTCCAAATAAAAATACCACAATATGTGCCACAACAATAGATTCAGTACTCATAAAATCAAAAATGTTCACCTGCAGACGATCCTCTATGGCAGCAACTCCGAGGATTTTAAAGTCATGCTCCAATTTTTGGCAGACCTCAGCTACCTTCCACTGCAAAAAATAGAGTTGACAAAAATCAAATTCCATTATAACCAACTTAAGCTTGAAAATGAACATGAGAGAGAGAAAGAGAGAGAGAGAATAAAAGAAAAACAAGTAAAACTTCACATAATATTGCATGTAGCCTTTACCTCCCTATCAACCAATGTGCTATTAGCCTCTTTGAACATCAGAGACCATTCTTGATATTCATCTTCCTCTATCTCACGCCAAGCCAAGCATAATGTCCGCAGTCCCAATTGAGAATACTGTTCTACAGCTTCAGCAAAAGTCCTTGTTTGTTGTCCTGACATAAATGTGTGTTAGAACATATATAAACTCTGCAAGATGAGGAGCAAAGGCAATTGATAAGTACAAACAGAAAATCCAAAGAGTTTAGGAAAATTATGAAAAAGGGTGAATAATCAGCAATATATCGACATAAAAAATTACAACCAAATGAACCTCAAAACTATAAGGGCTCCAATTACACCATTACAGCTGATACAGATGACCAATATTGACAATAGCAAGGACCCAATGAAATACCATAAACATGGTGAAATAATGTGCTCAGGTTGGCAGTTATCAGAATCCAGTATATGGACTTCACCAAATACCAAATGCATTCAACCCCAAGTAACACTGTAACAGTGCCACTTAACTTCCAAATTAGAAAAATCCACGTTAGTTTACTCTAGTCCTCAAATGTGGATGAGTGCACAGGAAATTCAATATATACACACATATTTAGTTAAAATGTGCATGATCATTTTTATTCAAAAAATCCACCATTAGTAAAAAAATAGCTTATTTGATTAGAGCATTAATGTTTCTCGGTTAATTGATCCACATAAAAGCTCGGTAGTCAGAAACTGTAATTGAAGTTGGAAGATTACTACCACCAATACATTTTATAATGTTTCCATGCAACCCTTTGGAAAAAAAAGAAACAATATGCATAAAGAAAGAGATACCGCCACATGCATAAGGAAGAATAGCTTCATCTGCACCCTTTGACAAAAGCATGATTCTCCCATTCTGCAAATCTTTTACCACAACTGACATTCTTTTCCTATCAGAAGTGAACTCCAGTGTGTCCAATACTTCATAGTGAACTATTGAGGCATTAAATTTGATTTCTGCAACCAGAGTTTAGGAAGTTAAAAATTATCCCCATCAAAGCCATGCATTGTATAACAGTCAAAATAAAGTGACTTGTACCAAGAATATTCGTATTCTTCTTGACAAAAACCATATGAAAGTGGGCAGCAGCATGAACAAGAGCTTCTTCATCTTGAGATTGTGCCTTATATGAGATCGCTCCACTTTTGCTGTAGACAATCACATAAGACACAAGATAATCCACGATTTAAAGATATAAGACTCATCACATGCAAGCATAGAAAAATGGTGCATGACATTTGTTGAGCTTCAAGGTAAACGCAAAGATCCAAGCAATTATTTGAACCAAAGAAGATTAAAAAAATCACCTTTGCATAGGTACGACTGTATTACATATCGCCATAACTGTAAGAAATCGAATAACATCGGAAGAGCCACTGGAAACAGCATTGAACAGCTCCACATCTAAAAAACACAGAAGGAACAAATTACATGCCAAGGAATTCACATATTTCACAATCTTAAACATACCCTAAAGAAATTGCATTAGACAAATTGATGTGAAACAAGAACTGCACTAGTGAAATAATAAGTTCATTCTTCGCAATGCAAAGCTTTATCAGTACAAATATGTCACAAAAACCTAGCGCTCGATGTTTCATGTCCATCTTGTGGCTCGGCTTGATAAAACTTTAGGGATCTTAAAAGTAATAATTTCAATGCTCAAATTCAAACATGTAATCAAATTTGTCTCAAGCAGGAAGGTAAAAAATTTCTCAATCCAACAAAACATAAAAGAAATCAAAATCTGATAGAAATTTGCTCAAGTTTTAGGATCAATGCAATGGAAAAATTAAAGCGATGCAGATATGATCAAGCACATAACAGCAGGGTTTGGAGTCACATGAACACAGCAATGTAGCTTCAGGTTTCTCAAAAAAAAGCATGACTATTGTAAATCAAAATTACGGTACCCTTTTAGCCCAATAAGTATGTGTTGGAAAATACCAAAAGGCTGCACTCACTCACATCATGGTACAATGCTCACATTCTAATTCTGTAAATTACTACACAGACATGTATATATGTTTTTTATATGTAGGACAACGGCTAGTGGATTGCGGAAGTGAAGAAGAGGAACAGCAGTTCATTTTTCTCCTGAATATATCAGCTTCTATCTAGACCAAAAATACAAGAATATAACTTCTTTCTTTTCTTTTTTTTAATTAGTAAAATACAAGAATATAACTTAGTTGTTGTTCAAAAAAAATGAGGAGAAAAAACCAATTTATTTTGTAAACATCAATACACTTGCTCTGAATCCTTCATAGAGACTATTGAAATTACAGGTATATCATGGGACTTGAAAGAAATAAAAAATTGTATTCTGGAAAGCAATTACTCAATCATTAATGCAGGATTCTGCACAGGTGATATGATTACAAAAGGCTTATACAGATGATTCAGCAACAAAAGATGTAGAAGCTGATTCATCGAATAAGTTAGAAGTTTGAAATATAGCAAGCGTGCATAACAGAATCGAAAACCAAACCTTTACGTGCATCGCCACTCTCATTTCCATAAAAAATTCCACTGATACAGCATCTTTTGAAGATCATTCTATTCTCAGTGAGGGTTCCAGTTTTGTCAGTCAATATGTACTCAACTTGTCCCAAGTCCTCACTAATTGCTGTGCTGCCAGATACAACACACAACTTAAATAAATAATAATAAATAAATATATGCAATGTAACTTATAGCTCATGTGTAATTAAAGTGATGGGTGGTCTTCTATTCTCTTACTTAGCTGCATGGGACGGAGTGCCAGTTTCTAGGTCAATCATCTCATTGTCCCAATCAATAAACTTTGCATACAAGCTCTTCACAAGATCTAAAGATACCTGCCACAAATAAGAATTACAATGCTTTAGGTTCTACAAATGGTAGCCCTACACATGAATACTCAACCTCATTATAAGCACAAAAATCATTTGACCAATCACCAGTGACTATAACAGCTAGGGATATTAGAAAATTTCGTAGATAGTGGAATCATGGTTGCCAAATCATGCATCATATCGGGGGTATCGCTTTCTGTACGTGTATCGGACATATATCATCAATCTTTTAGATTTGGAATAATGAAATATGTACCAATTTAGATGATTGTAAATGCAAGAGAGAGAGCGAGCATGATAGAAGATGCAAATAACAGAGTGAGCATGACATCCTGATTGGCGTGGCTCCTCTACTTGTATTATTATATGAGAGTAAATGTGAATAACATACTTGCCATTCAGTACATAGTAACACATTCAACACTTCCCTCAAGCTGGAGTATGAAATCAATCATGCCCAGTTTGTTAAATAGCACTAAGCCTGGTTATTCTCAAAAGCTTTAGTGAAAATATTACCTTATTGATCTACTGACTTGACATAGGATGTAACAACTTTTTTCCTCATCACCATCTCTCTCATAAAGTAACATTCCTCCTGTATGCTCTACATATTTTGTTGAGTCATGAAATACTGGGTTAAATCACTCCTTGAAAGAATGTTAAGTTGCTATACTTGGGCAACAAGTTGTTGCCATAATTATATTTGACTTTCTATGTAATTCCTTTATTACAAGTCTTCCCCAATTCACCTATAAATAGAGGTGGTTATTGTAAACAAAATCAAGAGAGAATGTAATGAAAGGAATGTAGTCGTCTGGGCTCTTTGTGTCGTGGATGGAAGCCCTAGTGGCTGAACCACGTTATATTTTGTGTTCTTCATGTTTTAATCTCTCTTCAACTTTTATTTTTCTTTCAACATGGTATCAGAGCAGGTTTATCATACCCTACTCTATACTCTACTTGTACCGGATCTTTAGATCAACTCGTCTTAGATTTACTCGTCTCAGACTCTTGACAACTTCATATTTAATTTCAAGTTGGACACTTGAGTTAAATCTCCGTGTACCAACTTGAGGGGGGGTGTTGGAGAATAATTATATGAGTGATTTAAGCCCTTAAATCACTCATTGAAAAAATGTTAAGTTGCTATACTTGGGCAACAAGTTGTTGCCATAATTATATTTGACTTTCTGTGTAATTCCTTTATTACAAGTCTTCCCCAATTCATCTATAACTAGAGGTGGTTATTGTAAACAAAATCAAGAGAGAATGTAATGAAAGAGATGTAGTCCTCTGGGCTCTGTGTCGTGGATGTAAGCCCTAGTGGCTGAACCACGTTGCACTGCAAACCATATATAGCGACAGCTCGACAATTAGTGCTCCAAAAGAATCGAGCCAAGCCGAGTTTTAGATTTTTTGGGCTCTAATCACCTAAGATGAGATGTTCAGGCTTGGCTCGTGTTTGGACGAACTTGACCTAATCAAGTTCAGGCTCAGCTCAGCATTTTCTCTCTGAGCTCAGGATCGGCTTGGCTTGACTTCAATCCAACCAAATCAAACTGTTTATTCTCTGTGTACATATACGCATCGCTGTCGATCTCCTTTGCCAATTTCTAAACCCATCTTCGACCTCCAATCACCACCCTCACACGAATCAATGATGCTCATGACTCCATCGGCATTGACAATATACAAGAAAAATGAGAGAATGTGAAACAGATAAATATGAGAGAGAGAGAGAGAGAGAGAGAGAGAGAGAGAGAGTCTTGTAGTCATGAAGAGAAATAGTTGGATGCTGGGTTCAGTGATGTCTCAATGAGGATGGTGAAAATAAATAGATAGCTAGGGTTTTGATTTTTAAAGGATGAGATTCCATGAGGACATATCTAGGATAACTAATACACATTAGCATATGGACAAATGCGCTATGAAGTCCTCCGTTTCTTTCGGAGGGTTGGGCTTTATTTGTGTGATAAGTTCACAAAGGTTAAATAAACTAATGGAACCAAATTATGAAGCTGTTGAATTTGGGATTAGCATATATTATATTGGCTAATCTTTTCAATACACACACACACACACACAAAGAAGAAGAAGAAGTATAAAAAGCAGAAAAAGGAAAAACTGAAATTTAATGGGCTATTTATAAACAGGCTTGTTTGCTTGGGCAGCTTGGCTCAGCTTGTTTATTAAACAAACCCGAAAAGGAATCTCCAGTAAAGTCGTTTACTTAATATACAAACATGAGCCAAGCTTTTACTGAGTTAAACCTGAGTTGCTCATGAATAGCTCTGTTCATTTGCAAGCCTACCTATATTCACACTGATTTTATTAAAATGGTCTCTGGGAGACTGCTTAAGCCTATAAAAGGCTTTTATCAGTTATACACCTTATATGATTGACATTGAGTTAAGAAGCAAGAACATTTCCACTAAGGTGTCATATTCGTGTCGGACACGTGTAGGACGCTGACACTTCACTGACACTCATAGACACGCGCTTAACATTTCATGGATGTGTTCATAATTTAAAAATAAATTTCATTATGTCAGAACACTTAGCTGACACATTCAGGACACTCCCCAAAACACAAACACATACAAGAGAAACCATGCCCAAAAATCTTGAAAACAATTTGAACACACCTCAAAGTGTCCAATCTTTTTTTTTTTTTTTAAGGAAAATAGACATTGTACACATGGTCGCACAAGTCAAGCATGCAACAACACTTTCTCATATAGGACAAATTTAATGGTGATGAAAAAAATAGGATAGTAGTAGCATATACAACAGAAACAACCTTTGTGGTATTTGCGTAGTTTCATTTTCTAAATTATTGAATTCATAATATTAAATGTAAAATTAAAAGTTCTATAATTTTGTTACTCCGTACATTTATGTAAATACAACTTCATATTTATATAACCGTGTTCACGTCCTACCTTTTTTAGGAGCTGACGTGTTGGCACATTTTGTGTTGTATCGTGTCTATTGTGTTTGTGCTACCTAGGACGTCCTTATTGTATGGAGAATTCCTTAAAATCCATATGGATATATTTAGGCCGCCTTCTAGTTGTGACCCTATTGCTTTTAGTACTCTTCATTGAACAAAATTAGGTAAGTAGTAGGAAAGAAAAAGAAAAAGAAAAAGAAAGAAAGAAGAGCATAAAGAAGGAAAAAAACAGAAAAATCAATTGTTGAAGCTTGGGACTCCTATACCAAGTTCTAAAATGTTCACAAATGCAAGAAAGGGAAAGAAGATGAAAATAATAGAGAGAACATAAACTCATGATGAGCTGGTTCCTCTTCTTATATTATTATATGAAAATAAATGTAAATTATATATTTCCCCTTTAGTCACAGTAATAGACTCAATGACAAGAATATGCCCACAAAAAGAATTTAATTATTTAAATTATATGATATACAATTTATTTACATGACAAATTAATTGTCAACTCCTCATTCTCATACATATAATTTTGAAAATGAGAATATAATATGATATAATATATATATATTATTTCAAAAAATTGCATTTATGTTTATGATGGTTGTATGACTATAGTTAGAACGCCTATAGGGGAAACAAGTGAATTCCCAATCCCTGTAGATTTACATCAAGCAGCATTAAGTCCATACCTTTTGGCTTGATTATGGAGGAGCTGACGAGACACATCCAAGATGAGATTCCATGGTGTATGCAATTTGCCAATGATATTGTTTTCAATGAGACTAGAGGAGGAGTTAATGCCAAATTGGAGGTTTGGAGAAAAGTTTTAGAATTAAAAGGGTTTAAGATAATTAGAAATACAACTGAATACATGGAATGTAACTTTAGTAAATCTAGAAGAAATATAAACGAGGATGTAGTTTGGATTGAGAATCAAGAGGTACAAAAAAAAAAAAAAAAGAAAAAAGAAAATGAACATTTTCATCATTTAGGTTCAATTATTCATCAAGAAGGAAAAATTAGAGATGACATTAATCAAAGATTCAAGGCAGAATGGGTTAAATGGAGGAGTGCATCTAGTATCTTGTGTGATGTGCGTATTCCCTCAAAATTGAAAGGGAAGTTCAAACGAACCACTATTAGACCAGCCATACTTTATGGCATAGAATGTTGGGCAACTAAGAAACAACATATGCATAGTGTGGTGAAAATGCAAATGTTGAGATCGATTTGCAGTAAGACTAGAAAGGATAAAATTAGAAATGACCACATTTGGGAGATGGTTAAAGTAGCACAAATTAGAGATAAAATGGGAGAAAATTGGTTAGATGGTTTGGACATCTGCAAAGAAGACATTTAGATGCCGATTAGGAATAGTGACATAGTCCACATCGAGGATAACACTAGGGGAAGAGGAAGACCAAAGTTAACGTGGGTAGAGTTAGTGAAGAAGGATATGATAGCTTGTGGTTTGACTGAGGCTATAGCCTTAGACACAGCGGAATGGAAAAATATAATTCATGTATCTTAGGAAGCACGAATACTTCTTAGAGTGTGACGTACCCGTATCAGATACGTGTCGGATACGGATACTCGCAGATACGTGTCCGATACTTCCTCAACATAACTATAATTTAAAATATATTTTTATATTTCTAACACGTATCTGATACTTTGATTGAGTATCCGACACTTCTCAGATACTTATAACACATTTTAAATAAGTTTTGAACATTAAAATGTAACTTTTCCATCAATAATAACGTAGTATAATTGTTAACAAAAGTTAAATATTTATTAAGTGATGGCTAGGGATGCTTGTTTTATGTGTTGTGAAACAAACTCCTATGTTATATTAATGCTGCATTTAGATTCATGATATTTTAAAAAATGGACCAAAAATTATTTTATATATATATATTATTTTTTGTATCCTAACGTTCCCATATCCTGTCTTTCTAAGATTTGCCATATCGCCATACTCGTATCGTGTCGTGTCCATATCTGAATTTGTGCTTCCTAGCATGCAGTCAACCCTAAGTAGCTGGGAAAAAGGCTTCTTGTTGTTGTTGGCATTCCATCTCATTGGATTGCATAGTTTATAGAATTTAGACAAACATCTGCAATACAACAAAAGCTTGAACTTCTTCGATGATTCATTGAAAGAAGAAAAAAAAATTGCATCGTTTATAGAGAGTACATCAAAACCTACAATATAATTACAGCCATGACCTTTTCCAATAACTCATTCAAAAGAACAAAAAGGGGAATACGTACTTGCACAAGTTAGCAAACATGTTTGTTTTATATTATTATGGATTATAATGTGAATGACTAGTTAGTGAATTTTTTAAGTAAACAGAAATTCTTTTCATGCCTTGACATAATTAGGATTAATACTGTGTGTATAGTAACTGGGCTCCTCATAATAGGAAGGAAAAAATATAATGTGTCAGATTCGATGAATCATAGAGATGAAGTCAGAAGTAAGCAAAAGAGAGACGCTACATTTTTTTTTTTTTTTCCAACTATGAAAATAACCTTGAAAGAACATAAGAAATTTCAGAAAGAGTTAATATATATATATATATATATATATATATATATATATATATATATATATATATGAGAATAACAAAACGTCAAAAAGTCTAGATACTATTGTATCATATGCATATGACAGTATATCCTCTTTAACAAAAGGAGGGTCTCTATATATTTGAGAATAACAAAAGGTCAAAAGGTCAAAAGGTCTAGATTCTATTGTATCATATGCATATAACAATATATCCTCTTTAACAAAAGGAGGGTCTCATAACTAAGAATTCCTAACTAGGGCAATTTGGAAGCCAAAAACTAACGGCAGATGTAGCCTCAACCTTTGAAAAATCTTAATAGGACTCATAACCAAAAATTTAATAAAGGTCCAGCCTGAAGGCCCTCAACCATTGGGGAAGCTAAAGGAGACTTGTATCCACCACAGCTCACAGATCTTTGTGTTGACGCACACCAACTTGCTACTCTTTTCCTTCCACTACAAGGACTTGTCTCATATTCATTCTCGGCTTTTCTTACAGAACTTAATTTCACATCAAAACACATACTCATGTCAACTGCCAACTTTTCTTAAAGAACTTTATTTTGCATCAAAACATAATAAAACTGATGTCAACTACAGCAAAAAAAAAAAAATTGTAAAGTAAATGAGGAGGAAGCAACATAACATAAATGCTTACCTTTATAGATATGGGTATCATGATGGAACAAAGAAGCTCAAATCGTAGAGGGATGACCAATAGTTCATACCATGGACCTTCATTTGGATATCGGACGTACCATTGCTACAAAAGCATAAGAACACGAAAGTGGGTATGAACTGAAACAAATTTACATAATAAAGGTTATATATATATATATATATATATATATATATATATATATATATATATATATATATGTTGTAAAGCATAAAACGGATGCAAAGAGATAAATAAAACAAGTAGAACACACAGCTATTACGTGGTTCAGCCACTAGGGCCTACATCCACGACACAAAGAGCCCAAAGGGCTACATCACTTGATACTCTCTCAATTCATATACAATACAATGGTGGAGGCTCCTTTATATAGGAAAATAAATTATGAGAATGGAAAGAGATAGAAAATAGGAAACAAGGAGGATTTTTCTCCATTGATTCCTCTATAATATCAAATCTTCAATAATAGGAAACAACATCAATTGCTATAAGATTTTCCTCCACTGATATCTCCATTCAATCTTCAATACTCCCCCTCAAGTTGGAGCATGAATGCCTAACTTGCCATTGAGATGACGAGCAACAAGTGTGAATGATGAAGAGAGAAGACGAAGAACAATGCTACCGAACACACCGACAGCCCAAACAAGTAAGCACAAAACTGCCAGAGACACAGCAAAGGCAAGGACAATGCTACCGAACACACCGACAACCCAAACAGTCGATAAAAACTGCCGGAGACACGGCAAAGACGAAGACAATGCTACCGAACACACCGGCAAACCAAACAAGTCAATAAAAACTGCCAGAGACACAGCAAAGGCAAAAAGCATTACTGCCGAACAAACCGGCAGCCCAAACAAGTCACAAAGCACTAAGAAACCCTTAGCAACATTTCAGATACCAAGGGAATACCCCAAAATAGAGGTCTGAACCTAGGAAGAGAAATTAGACTCTGATACCATGTTGTAAAGCATAAAACGGAAGCGAATAGTTAAATAAAACAAGTAGAACACAAATATTACGTGGTTGAGCCACTAAGGCTTACATCCACGACACAAAGAGCCCAAAGGGCTACATCACTTTTATAATACTCTCTCAATTCATATACAATACAATGGTGGAAGCTCTTTATATAAGAGAAGAAATTATGAGAATGGAAAGAGATAGAAAATAGGAAACAAGGAGGATTTTTCTCCATTGATTCCTCTATAACATCAAATCTTCAATAATAGGAAACAACATCAATTACTGTAAGATTTTTCCTCCACTAATTTCTCCATTAAATCTTCAATAATATGTATAATGTTGAGAGCTTAATATTTCACTAAAGAATTACAATGTGATTCTCAATCATATGTAACTTTTGAGCAAAGACAACCATACTAGCAACAACAATTCTTAGAAAAAATGACGAAGTGTGAGGATACTCCTTAAAAATGAAATTAATGCAAGAAAAATAACTGCACAGACCAATAAATCAATATGTACTTTGATGTTTTGTATACCAATTTAATCTTTAAATATGCAGACCACAGCAGCTCAAGTTCATTTATGAGTAAAATGTTGTGTATCAAGGAAAATCAGAAATATAATCACAAGAAAGAAAGAACGCAGACCAGGAAGTCAATCCACATACATCATGAAACCATTAACCACTTCAATGCTTCATAAATTAATGTGCAAGCACAACACTTCTAACTATTTGACCAAATAATCTTTTTTTATAAAACTTAATTAATAGTTATAATCCATTAGTAGAAAATATAAAACAAATATATATGTGTGTGTGTGTGTGTATATATATACACACACACATAAAAGTAGAAAGGATGAACAAGCCCTAAGGAGGCAAGAGAGCACACCACTCAACAAATCCAAACTTGTATGCTGTAAAGACGCCAAACAATATACTACCCAGAAAGTGTAAAAATAACTTGAAATTAATGCGAATTGTCCAACTCTTCCAAACTATGCAACTGTAACATCTAACAACCTGTCAAGAGCAGGAACATCAACAGTAATTAAGAAGTACCTGAGAAAACAAACTAATTCTTCTGCTACTAATCCCACCGGAAAACCCAAACAAACTTAGATAGAATTATCTGGGCACATCGTCGTTAAAACTTATATATGATTATCTGAGCACATCATCATCAGAGTCATTTATGTTGTAATGATGCACTAAAGTCGGGTGTATATTGTTGGAAACTTGATGTTCTATACACGACAACTCCATTACACATGGAAGTCAGAACTGCATTATGCAGTCATGCAGTCCAAAAGATACACGGCAAACATGGTGAATGGAAAATTTTGAAAAATAAGATGGAAACTTGAATACAAACTTCAGTGTGAGTGCAACACGAAGAGAGAGAGAGAGAGCACAGACATAGCTAAAAGGTAAGCTGGATATTGAGAAAGCCTATGATCATGTTTGCTGGAATTTCCTGTTCTATCTGTTGGAGAGGATGGGTTTTGGTGAGAGATGGAGGAAGTGGATTGTTTCTTGTGTTTCCACTGTCAGGTTTTCGGTGTTGGTGAATGGCTCTCCTTCGGGGTTCTTTGGCAGTTCTCGTGGGCTGAGACAGGGGGATCGTCTCTCCCCTTTTCTTTTTATTATTGTTATGGAGGCCCTTAGCAGGCTGATGAGAAGGGCGGTGGATTTGGGTTTTCTTAGGGGTTTCAAGATTGGCCCTGAATCAGTTCAGCAGTTGGAGATCTCTCATTTACTTTTTGCGGATGACACTATTGTTTTTTGTGAGGCTGATATTTCCCAGTTGAGGTAACTGAGATGTGTTTTGGTTTGTTTCCAGGCTGTTTCTGGTTTGAAAGTTAACGTGGGAAAGAGTGTGATTGTTCCTGTGGGGGACGTTCAGGAGGTGGACACTCTGGCTGCTGTCCTAGGATGTGGGACGCAACGCTTTCCCATCTCGTACTTGGGTTTGCCGCTGGGGGACTCGGCTAGGAGGGTGGGAAGTTGGAACCCGGTGATTGAGCGGGTCGAGAGAAGATTAGTGGGTTGGAAAAAACAATATCTGTCAAAGGGCGGTAAAGTTACGTTAGTGAAGAGCACTTTGTCAAGCCTTCCAACGCACTTTCTTTCGCTTTTTTGTATTCCAGCCTCTATTGTTGGAAGACTAGAAATGCTCCAACGTAATTTCCTTTGGGGGGGTCGCGGAGAAGAGTTCAAGTATCATCTTGTCAAATGGGAACAGGTTTGCAAGCCTATTCGGTTTGGAGGGCTTGGAATTAGGAGATTGGCCCTTTTCAATTGTGCTCTTCTTGGTAAGTGGCTTTGGAGATTTGGTAAGGAAAGACATAGATTATGGAGAAGGGTTATCTCATGTCGCTTTGGGGAGGAGAGAGGAGGGTGGTCAGCTAGACCAGTCAGGTCTGTTAGCGGAGTGGGGGTGTGGAGGGCCATTGGTAAGGGGTGGGATGCCTTTTCCAAACATATTAGATTCAGAGTTCGGGATGGAAGAACTGTCCGGTTTTGGGAGGATCCATGGTGTGATGATAGGCCTTTGGCCCTATTGTTTCCCAGGCTTTTTAGGATTGCTATTGACAAACATGCAATGGTTGCTGACTACTATCGCCTTGATAGTGGAAGGTTGTCTTGGGATGTGCGTTTCCGGCGAGCTTTTCAGGATTGGGAGCTGGATGATGTCACTGGGTTTTTGGCTCTTCTTTACAGACAGGAGGTGGAGGGGTCTGGGGCAGATTCCTTGTTTTGGGTGCCTTCTTCTCAGGGGATGTTCCAGGTCCGGACCTTTTTTGTGTGCCTTTCTGGTTTTCATGGTACCTCATTCCTATGGAAGACGGTGTGGAGGTCTAAGGCGCCTCTTAGGGTGGCCTTTTTTATGTGGACTGCAGCTTGGAGTAAGATTTTGACTTTGGACAACTTGAGGAAGCGAAGGCATATCATTGTTAATAGGTGTTGTCTTTGCAAGATTAATAGGGAGTCGGTGGATCATCTTTTGTTGCACTGTCCTGTGGCTCATGATTGTTGGAGTTTGATGTTTGGCCTGTTTGGTATTCATTGGGTCATGCCTCGGTCATCTTGGGAGTTGTTAGATATGTGGAGGGGCCAATGGGTGGGGGCTCAGGTCAGAGTTTTTTGGAGGGTGATCCCTTTTTGTATTTGGTGGAGCCTTTGGAGAGAGCGTAATGGAAGATCTTTTGAGGGAAAGGAATCCTCCATTGGGGTGTTAAAATTTTCTATCATTTGTAATTTGTTTTGTTGGGGTCAGGGGAGAGACTACTCCTCTCTTGAGGAGATTGTTGATTTTATGAGCTCTTTGAATTCATAGGCTCCGTTTTGTCTTTGTATAGTTTGGGTCGCGTTCCCCTTTTTGAACGCTTTTAATACAATTTACTTATCAAAAAAAAAAAAAGGTTGAACTATCCGTGTCAGAAGCAAACACCCGTCGGACACGACCCAATATGTGTCGGACAAGCCAAAAAACGTGCCTGAGTTTCTTTGTTTTTTTCAAATAAATGGACATGATGTGGACAATGATGCTAGATTAAAAGGGGGTTTTTCAAGTTTCAAAAAAAGAATCATTAAAGTATAAAGTATGAGGAATCCTTAGGGGTGGCAAAGTTTGACACGACCTGCCAACACGACTCAAACACGACACGAGTTAAACGGGTTAGGGTTGACCTTTCGGGTCGTAAACGAGTCAACACGATTAACCCGTTTAGTTAATCGTGTCGTGTTTGGGTTGAGGGATTCAACCCGTGTAACCCGTTTATACCCGTTTAACTATATGTGTCATAAGCAAATTTCTATTTAAGTTCCAAAATAACTATCTAAACTAGTAATTTGGTTGGATTGAAACTTATATTTTTATAGTATTTAATGTTTGATCAAGTATTATTAATAATTTAAATAATAAAATATTTGATTTTATTAAACAGGTCACTAAACGAGTTACACGTGTAACCCATTTAATAAACAGGTCGGGTTAGTGTTGAGGGTTCCTGACATGATTATTAAACGAGTCGTGTTCGGGTTGAGCTGTTTAGTAGAATATCCTTAGATCGACACGACACGACATGATTACGACCTGCAAACACGAATTTCCACCCCTAGGAATACTCCGAAAAGTTTCAATGATAATTTAATTAATATTTATCAATGCTTATTACCTGTTCAAACTTGTACAAGACCAAAAAGTGGAAACAGAGAAATCTCACTCTCTCTTGCAACCAAGTGTCGAACTTGCTACAACCAATCATCGAAGCTCAACTATCAACGAGCCTTCTTATTCAACAATCCTTTTTCTTTTTTCCCTCTTTAACCTGTTACAAACCCTTTTCTTCCTCTATAGATTCTCCTTTTTTGTTATTAACAAACAATAATTTATTTCTCAACTATACCCTAATTCTCTTTCTTTCTTTGTTTTTTTCTTTAACTATTTATCCCCCCTCTCCCTCCCTCCCTCCCTCCCTCCCTCCCTCTTTTCTAACATTTCTCTAACAAGCTAGCATGACAAATATCTATGATCCAGCTTGAGAAGAGAGTTAAGAATGTTTAATGAATTAATATTCCAATATGTAATTTATCAATGTTTATTAGTAATTATTAATTAGAGGAGTCTACGCACTTAAACACCATGAACAGCAGTAATGTGCGGAAACCACTGTAGGTCGCATTCAATCCCAGTGCTAGAAGGGGTGGACTAGGTACAAACCTTACCTCCATTTGCAAAAAGTGGCAACCCACACAATCTAACATGCATTCTCGAGCTTAACAACCGGAGCTTGCACCAAGGAATGGCGCTTTCACACTTCAGTATCATAGTGGTTAGATAACAATAACTTTACATGCACAACTTACGAAAAAAAATAATAATAAATTTACATTCACACGTAGAGATATTAAGAAGATAAAAGTTCCTAAATGATGCCAAGAGAAGTTTATATTATTTAATTTTTAGTGAAAGGAAAATAAAAAAACTCCAACGATAAATAATTTCATATGTACAAAATTGCTATGCTCTTGAACCATCTCCAACTGGAGATATAAGTTCAATTTCAGTAGCGACAGTATAATCTTTCAGAAGTGAAGACAATAATTAGCACAGTTTTGTCCCACAATAACAACCAGCAACAAATTGTTGAAGAATTAACCAACCGCTTACCGAATATATCTAGTATCCATCAAATGCTTGCAGTCATGTACATTGCCTGACTAGAAATTCAAACAGATTCTAATAATATGAAAGCAAAATGGTTCAATTTGCGAATAAAATCAGACCCGTTATGTAGACACAATCCCAACAAAAATATATTAATATATATATGTGCATGTGTGTGTGTGTGAAAGAAACATTTTCCATGAAAGCTCAAATTCAAAATTAACAAGTTGCAAATTGAGACAAACCTTTCTTGCTTCTGTATCCTTCCAGACATTCCCAGCTATGCCTAGAACAATAACAACTACTATCTGAAAAACAAATATTGCTCCAGTCAACTTGTCAATCATGGCATCAACAGCTGTAAGCTTTGGTTCAGGTATACCCCTACTCATACCGAGCTTTGTTTCATTGCCTGAAAATAAAACAAGAAGAACGTATAGAAGGTTAACAATTTGTTGTTACCGACTCATCACCATCACAAAGATTCAGAAATTACATAACAAACGAACTTTGGAATTAAAAACAAATCAAGAGAAGTATCATACTAGAAAGTTAAGGCAGTGGGAAAACCAAACTCAGAAAATATTCAGAAGTAGCATAGGAAAGAACAATCTAAAAATAATTGGAGTGCACAAAGAAGAAATCTAGTTCTTGATTAATACATCCATTCCTTAAATCAAGTTTATGGTATATAATAATCCAAGCAGTTAGCATATGATTTGCAAATTTTTCTCAAGTGTTCATGGAACCTGGGAAAAAAATAATAATAGTTTCACCCTATCAATGGGTTACTGAGTTTGATGAAATTGCTACGAACTTCTTCAATATTTCAAATGATTTTGTTCAACAATCCAAGATTGTATGTTTGATCTTGTGTTGATTTTAGCAGAACAGTTTAATTAATTTGGAGCCAGAAGGAAATAAATAAATACATGTATGTCTCTCAAATTGGCTACAACTACAATAGTGAAAAGCAGTAAAAAAAAAAAAGGTTATATGTGTTGCGGAGGGTTTTAGAATCTTTTTTTTTTTTTTTTTTTTGATAAGTACGGAGGGTTTTAGAGTCTTTGAGCGCATCTTCTTTTTCCTTTTTGGAATATCTTAATCAAATATTTCTACTATTAAGTGTGAACAACCAAAGTTAATGGCATGTTAAATGCTTTTAAATATCAGCTAACAGTAACACAAATTACTACTAGCAGTAGTGAATTGGATCTCTCATAAGATCATTCATAGTACCTACAAAATGGTAAAACACATTCTCCCCAAACACAATCTCCCTCTCGAACCTATTTTATAACAACTTACTCAATCCATGAGGACCAAAAAGTATATTTTGAAGGATAAATTTCAAAGCAGATTGAGATACGCAAGACGATTCAAGAAAATTCCAACCCCACCAAAATATAAACCTTCCTTTGTACAGCCATTTGAGACAGCCTCCTCTAGTCCTCTCCAAATTAACCATGTAGACAAAAGCATATGAACAGATCCTAACTGACGCATAGCTGACAACATGAATATTACTTCTAATGACCCACATGCTGTTCCAAGAAATTTGAAGAATAACTGCTCCTAAATAATCCAACAAATTGTTCTTGACCAATGTATGAGAATGGATACACCTAAAACAAAATCAAGCACCAAAGATGGGGCATGAGTATCTCGTGGGCCATAGTCTTCTGCAGCTCATATTTTGCCAAACATGCAGCTAACAATTGTCAGACAGGCGAAATAAAGGAACACATTTCTACTGCTTTATATCTACTCCTTTAATGGACAAATATTTTGCAATCACTCAAAGAGACTAGTTAAGAATTAAGATATTGTGTCACAAGACAATTCATTTAACATGTGCATAAAAAAGCAGCACAACACAATTTAATAACCCTCCAACCCTTCTCTCCTCTCCTCTCCACTCTCTCTTTCTGCCATTATTGCTCCTCGTCATCTTTTTCAGTTCCTTCATATGAATTAGTATCCCCGACATGCCCAACAAAATATCAGTCACTCTTCTGCTCTCTTTTCTCATCCATTGTTGCAATTGATCATCTTTTAGCTCCTTCAGGTGAAAGATTTAACTACCACATATAACATATACACGTACAAACAGAAAACAGCAGAAAAAGAAGCAAATAATTTAAAGGACATAAATAAGATAAATAAGTAAAATGATTCAGCCATGTTCCATGACCTTGACATTTCATAAAAATATGGACTTGCCTGTGTAGACAGCAACTCCACAAGCCCACTCTGTATTCCGCAAGTAGCACGACTGAAGAATAGTGTTCTTTATTGTTAAAGGACACATGTCATTATCAATAAATGGAGGAAACAACCGCAAATTTGCATCGAATCTTCTGATGTCTTTATCTGGGTTGGGGCACTCAATAACACCCTGTCAAAGATAAATTTAATACCATAATAACTGGTCAATAATTTAAAAGCGATATACCAATAAATTCTCTAGCCATAATCATACAAAAATCATACTTTGATTTTGTGCAACAGTTCAAAATCTATTCCCATGCAAGCAGAGGGTATCACCCTTGTCTTGAGATCAGTTTCACCATCTAAGGCAGAGGTCTGCAAAATATGTTACATCATTGGTTACTTGAATATTAAAAAAGAATGAACATCATGCTTTTCAAGAAATGCTAGCATCCTTCACAGCTTATGATATCAATCTGTTTAATCAGAGTGAGAGTTGTTGGAGACAGGAAATAGTGTTTCGTTAAACTCCAAGTCCCCCTGTTAATTTTTAAGAAACAAATGTAGGGGTCAGGTGGGTGGGGGGATTAAAAAAAAAAAATTAACTTAAGAATCCTGCATTCTCACAAAAAAGTGCTACTAAAATGTTAAACAAACACGAGAAAAATGCTACATCACAGGAAAGTTGCTATCCTTCAGTATCTTACTCTCCAGCATCCGCATACTCACTTCCTAACAAAAAGCAGGTTGAACAAAACCAGCCAAGGGCTTGATGATAAGCAGAAGCTTTATGAGCAAAGAAGCATCAGCACCCATATTGTTGATCAAATGGGTAACTACAGCTTCAACAAATCATTGTCTAGTGCTACCGTAATCAGTAACGGCCTTGAAAAGAACAGTGATCTTCACGACTGCTATGAATTGTATGATGACACACGCACACTACATAGAAAGACTACAAGAAATTCTCCTACCCATGAAAAAAGCTCCACCACACCATGTGTTTAGAATCTAAAGTATCCCCCATAATTTGGATTCATTGGGGCTATGATCAATAATGCAAATGACAATATAGTGCCTTTAATATTTTGAAGCAAAGACATACTAATTTGAAGAAATAAAAAAAAGTCCATGAATCCATAGCAAATGCTCCTCCCTCAAATAATCCTGTTGGTTCCGGAAGCTAGGCTGTCCAACCAACCCTATCCCTATCTGACACCGGCATAAGTTCATCAACCCACTCCCAATCAAGGGGATCGGGTGGTACCTCTCTGGGAAATCCAAATACAGCAGAGGTGATTTTCTCCCATTTTGAACATGCTATGGTTATAATACTTGAGCATTACATCTGTTCTACAATATAAAACTCAAAGTCAATCTCCATTACAATTACAGGAAGATACTAACAGTTTTTCTTTTTTGTCTTTTTTGGGTGGTGATGGGATTTGGGGAGGATGTTAATAGTGTTAAGAATGAATTTCACTAAAATCCAAAAGAAGAACTGGAAGTGGAAGGCTCAGACTTCTCTTTACCCCTAATAGGCAACCAATAATTGAATAAACAAAAACAGCAATGGGGCTAACAACAGACTACTCTTTACATGTAGCTTCAAATTTAAGTACACTTTAATACTTACTTGAGAGAGATTAGATTTAATGCCATTAGAAGGCTTTTTAACAAGAACCATTACAAGGTTTTTATTTGAGCATTAATGTTTTATTCAACCGAAAGCAAAATTAAGAGATCCTACTTTAGTACTTAGTCTTCTTCCTTTTTCTTTTTTATAAACTTGAGAGAAGTCTTCTGAACAGTTCTTTTTTGTTTAGGGCTTCTAGAAGACTCCAGAAATGTTCTTCAGTATGAAAATATTACAATTCTTTTATAACATCGCAAAAGAGGGACTACCAGTAGCTTTCTAAAGAAGGAATTCAGGCTGAAATCTAATTTGAATTCATTTGAGTTTGACAAGCTATGGATTCCTCATAGAAAAGCTGGAATCTACATAATTGAACTTTTCTTCGAACGCAATTTAATCTCCTAGTAATTCTTGAACATTTCGTGGAGTTGTTTTCCTTAACCTGCTTTACTTTCTGTAGAATTTTATCATGATTCACTTCAACAATTGCTAGCAAGCCAACCCAATCACTCAAAATAAAAATATATACCATTTATGGATAATAAAAAAATAAAAAATAAAAAGGGAAAGGAAATGGAACAAAAAATAGCTGCAGTAACAACTTCAAACTTAGAAGTGTCAAACAGAACATATGAAGCAGCATGCATACCTCTATATAGCAAAGACCCTGTGGTTCAGAGGTACCAATTAGAACAAGATCGCATGGGGCTTCTTCATTCTCACGAAGCCACACAATGTTACCCACACGAATGTCCTGAGCTTGAATCTACAAGTGAAAATCACCGATGCAATGAAGATGGCTCAGACCAGTTAGTATCGTAAAATTCAAGCTAAAGAAATAGATTATTAAAAAAAATTTTAAAAAATCTGCAAAAATGAGTGACAAAAACAAATGAACATACACAATGTATCATGTAGCTTCTATAAGAAGGCCGTTATAATTTTAGTGTCTCATCTGTGATAATTAGTTACGTTTTAAGTTACTTTTCCGTCAATTTTTTTAAAAAAGTTTTGCATTATTAGAGATGTTGTGGTTGCTGACTATTATCGTCTCGATAATGGGAGGGTGACTTGGGATGTGCAGAGACAGTTCCACGGTTGGGAACTCTTGAAGGTTACAGGCTTCCTGGCCTTCATTTATTGCCAGGTCGTGGTCGGGGTGGGCATGGACGAGATGGTGTGGGTGGGTACCTCGAGAGGTGTATTTGAGGTTAGGTCTTTCTACTACAGTATGTTGGAGCTTCCTGCCCAGCTTTCCCTTGGAAAGCTAAAGCTCCACTGAAGGTGGCTTTCTTCTTGTGGACTGCTGCCCTGGGAAGTATCCTTACTCTTGACAAGGTTAGAAGGAGACGTCAGATTGTGGTTAAGTGGTGCTGCATGTGTAAGAAGTCGGATGAATCTGTCGACCATCTTCTCCTTCATTGCTAGGTGGCAAGGGATGTTTGGTCTATGCTTTTTGTAGCTTTTGGTCTTCCATGGGTTTTTTTAGAATCCACGGTGGACATGTTAGAGACTTGGAAAGGGTGTACAGTGGAGAGCCGAGTCAGAGATGCTTGGAGGGCTACTCCCCTTTGTATTTGGTGGGGTTCGTGGCGCGAGAGGAATAGGAGATCCTTTGAGGGAGAGGAGTCTCCAATTTCAGCTCTTAAAAACAATATTCTTACTTCTTTTCTCTTTTGGGTCAATGGACGGGATTGTAATACTATGGATTGTCTCTTGGATTTTGTTGATAGCTTACAGTTATAGTGTCGTCTTGGATGACTTTTGTTTCCTTTGGGAGCGCTCCCCCTTTTGAGCGCCTTTAATGAAATCTTACTTATCAAAAAAACAAAAAAAAACAAAAATTGCATTACTAGAGATAACAAATTGAGTAATAAATCTGAGAAGAAAGATAATTTTTCAGTAACATCTGCAATACATCCATTAGAGTATAAGAAAGTCTCCTACAACGCCAGTTAACAATCACAACTCTTGGTAATTGTTGAGAGAGAGAGAGAGAGAATATATGAAAACATGAATATTATTGAGCAAGTAATACAATAATACAATGGTGTTTATATAGGGGAAGCTACGGGAGTAGGTGAGTGGAGAACAAGAAAACCCTATACATGGTAATTCTATATATGGTAATGATTACTTGGTATTACTTGGTTTAATAGTAATAGTTTGCATCCCAACAACAACATTATTTGTAACTGCAGTAGAGGTTATCTTGACTTCATTAGGCTCTGCCATGATCCATTAACAAAGATAACAACTTTTGCTAGGAAAAAATCAGGAGAAACTGAGAAGCTGAGAGAGTAAAAGAAACTGAACCACTTGAACTAATTTTAAAGGAACTGCACAAGGAGAAAAACAAACCGAACGAAACTCCAATGGGTTAAACTGGCCGAAAAACCAAACCAAACTGAACTGGTCTGATAACCTGGTTTACGCTAGTCAGGCCGAATCTGACGGGTCGGATCCAACCCAATTCAGTAAATTTGGCTTGAATCGATGTAACCCGATTCGCTATAGTCATATCGGATGACAATACCTCCTTTACTTCCTCAAACCTGTTTGCCTTTCAAAATTCTGGCTACCAACAATCCATAACAACGATGACCACTCACAGTACCACAATGAACACAGCGACCAATCGACCAATCACTAGTCATGCGATTACACGTGCATGACAAGCGAAGTCAAATCTGAGAGAGAGAATGATGGTCGATCAATCTCCCTCCGCCAATGACGATGAGTACCACCAACGAACTAGTACGACAACGACGAGTACCACCAACGAACTAGTACGACGACGTCTCCTTTAGCGACAACAATCTAGGGTTCCGATTTTAATTCTAAGTTTTCAAGGACACCAACACATAGACATGGCCACGATGACTCTCATCGTGACAATCATCTAGGGTTTCAAATAGAGAAATGGATCGTTGCTCCAATACCATGCTACGAATTACAAAGAAAAATAATTTGGGATGAATCTGTCTTCTCTTAAAAAATTAGAGAACACTAAAATCACTTATATATATCTACGCAGAAGTATTGAAGGATATTTACAAAATGACCCAAACTTTTTTACTAATTATGCTATTACCGATAAAGATTCATATAACTGACCACAATAGTTAAGATAAGACTTTATTGAGTTGATTGAGTTGATAAAAACAAAACCAATCAACAAAAGAGAATGAGAAATCAAATGTTGTTTCTCAAGAAAGAAGACCAAGTAATATTTATACAAATAGATGACAAGAATTAAACATGAATTCTAGAAAACAGAAGAGTGGAGCAATCGAGGAAGTTAGCAAACCCACTAGTTCATTTGGCAACAAATGTAAGTAAATTTCTATGTTCCACAAAAAAATTGAAAATTAACCACTAAAAAGAAAATTAGTGGAGATAAATTTCCCATACATGTTTTTTGATGCCCTGCCTTACAATCCAAACTTCTTTCTCATTTGCTTTCTTGTCCGAGAGATATCTATTGTAATCATCCCATGCCTCTTTTGATGCTGAGACTGCAAATATAAAAATGAGTGGGCCCCACGTACTTGCAGGATTTACGGGAGTAATAAGTGGCCATAGCTGAAGGCAAGCTATCAACAAAAAGTACTGGTTCATGAACCGGCTGGACACATAGGATATAAATTTGTAAGAAAATTACAAAGGAAGCAAAGAAAGAAAGAAAGCGTCTGAGAAGCACATAAATAAATAAAATTTAGCAAAGAAAAGAAATGCAAAGTTAAAGTTGTTGTGAAATGTGCTAGTTTAGTGAATACAATAAGTATGCTACAGGAATAAAGAGGAATACACAATAAAAGGGGGAAACATAATATTAAAGAATGTTGGCTATTACATAATGATCCCATTTGAGAAATTTTTTGCCATAAAATATTGGCCAATGACTCCGTGAAAGTGACAGGGCCATTCACCAACCGAATAATACAAAGACTGAAACATAAAATAATGAAGTTAATCTGCAGCTTTGTGAAATAATATTGGTGGCCACCTAAAAAAGCAAAAATCGCTTCTAAGGAGAAGTCCGTGTTAGACAAATGTCAAACACTAAGACTTTTCGAACAAACTCACACGTGTTCGACACATCTAGATTCTAGAACATGTTCGCAATTTATTCTTAAGTTCAGGACAAGGTAAAAAATTCTTGAACACTCACTAACATGTGACGAATGAGTCTAAGGAAAAAGAAAACTTTAATTCTAAGGAAAAAGAAATAATGTTCATATAAAACTTAAATAAATTTTGACCATATTTAAAAATAAAACCTATAAGAATGTTCTACTAATGGAATGGGAACAGGTATGTTACATGAACTCTCCTATCCCCTTCAATACCTGTGTCCACACAAACTGTATTAAAATGGGGTATGTGTCCAATGCATGAACCTAAAACAGACAACGTGATCCTCTGCACATGATGATGGAAGGAGCAGAAGAAAGAAAGCTCAAATCTGATAGAACAAAAAAATTTCCTACTTCTGAGATAATTGAAAATCCCTTTTTTCACATCTCATATGATTTAAATTCTACATCAGTAGATCCTTAAAGATCAGTAGCATCATAAATTACACTATTATTATATTTTATTTTAATAAAAGTATCATATATTACACAATTATATACATATGATGTATTTAAATGTCCAGAATGTGAGTAGTACTCAAATCTAATTTTTGGACATAATTCAAGCAAAGTCTCAGTATCCTAAGAATTTTTAATTCATGGAAGTCTGACACTTGCACACCGCTACACATTAGAGTCCATGTAACATATGGTATGGAAGTAGAAGTGGTATAAAATATGGCATGAAAGTAGAAGCAGAGTCATACATGTATACATATACACATCTACATGGATGAACAATACATTCAAACACGCATCATGATTTTTTTCGTAAATCATACAAATTTATACATCAAAATAGATATTATTGTGTGCTCATCATGCCTATGTCCTATCCTTCTTTTAAAAACTTTCATGTCACGGTGCCTATGTCCATGTCCTGTTTGTCCATCATATTATGCTATGTTTGGTTGGAGGGATGAAAAAATGGATGGAGGGAGAGGGGGAGGCATCCCTAGGAAGGGTAGGTGTCTCCCTCACTTTTTGTTTTGTTGAATGGAATGGCTAGTCGAAAGGATTGATGGGGTAACACTTTTTTCTTGTTTGGTTCGAAGGAAGGGAAAGAGTGTTTTTATATACAATTATAAAAAGTAGATATTTATTTCAATTTTTTGGGAAGGTTAAACATGGAAATTGCATGTTTGTTGGTAGTTATCCTTTTTTCTCTCCTCTCTTCCCCCAATTTTGGGAGGATTAAAAAACACAAAGCAAGGAGGGATGCCTCCCTCTCTTCCCTTCCCTCGAACCAAACATACCATAAGTTTCCATAAGCAAGAAAGGAAAGAAAATTTAAAATTTGCAATTCAACATAAAAGATTAACTATCAACTGATTGGAGGAAGCCCATTCATAGACATAGGCATACATAAATATGTATATACACATGCATACATATTACATACATATGTAGATGCACATATAATCATATACATACTATCGTATTTATATACCATAGGAGTAGAGGAAACTAATAATATTCCTCTACTAAAAAGCAGCCTCTATTAATTAGCAAAAAATGAGGCTATAAAAATTGTTCCATGTATCCTGTTTCTGCAGGTGTAATTTAACTCATTCTTTTCCCAGTCCCCATGAGTATCTCCTACCATATGCCCCATAAATAATGAAAATCACTCACTTCAAACCCAGTTGGCATAAAATAGAAAGGACCAGCCCAGACAACCAGTTGACCCATATAGTAGATCAACTACAAAAACATTTAGGCTGAATTGAAGGTTTCAACAATTAAGATTCCATTATATCCATGAAGCTACCTAAAAATTCTAAAATATATCTATACTGCCAAAGGAAATATATTGAATTGAAAGAGAAAAATTCTACATGTGACCTGCTAAAAGGAACTCAAAAGAGCAGAAGATTTTATCAAATTTCGACATGTTTATTCAAGACAATCCACAACAGAATTTGAGAAGAAATAAATGAAATCAAAGGTAACAATTCGATAATCACCTGAACTGTTCCCATAAATTTTTTGGGAGGAAGTTCAGCAATGTATATTTTCTATTCGATATGCGATTGTCACAGTAAAGATCTGGTGAAAGTTCGTCATCATTGATGTAAACATAACGCTTCATCGTTAACTCAGAAGCAACAGATCATGTTTGGCAAGTTTAATTCCAAATTATGGTACCAGCGCTCAAAGCATTTAGAACCCCCACCATAATAGATAATCTCAGAGAGTACTGTATCCTGTGACACAAGAAGAAAAAAAAAAAAAAAAAGGTTAGATTTTGAATATATATGTATATATATATCACATATTTCAGCTGATATAACTCATAGCCACCAAAAGCAAGATAAAAATACAACAGAAATGAGTCCAATAAGACAAGATAAAGACCAATATGCAAACATTGTCTGTCTTGGTCATTTACAGTACAAGTCCTACCAGCCAGCATGACCTAAGTAACATAATCCACTCCAAGATTAACGAGTTTCAAGCAGTTGCAGCAAAAAATCCCTGAACTGCCTGACGAAAATCTGTGGATTGAAACCCCATTATCAATAATTCGATATTGGGATTTCACTGATTCACATTTTATTGCCAAATTGTCAATAATTTGAGACCCGACATCTGAAAGTCAAATCATGCCAAAGGTCCTTACCTAACCTTCTAATTATTTACGCAATAAGTTAAATAGAAAAATTAGGGTTTTGTTGCTTGAAGAAGAAGAGGATTATGACAATAACGGTGATGGTAAGAAAGTTTCAGAGCTACTTGGAGCCGATAGCTACTGTAGGTTTGCCTATCTTTTGGTAAATGGCTCGTTGGAAGTCATAAGGGTCTAGATAAAGATCAAAAGTTCGCATTGGTGTGAATCGTAGTACCGATTATCAAAACCGATTAAATCTAATAGTAGTTTGGTTCAATCGATGAACGAAATCGATAGCAATTTCCTGATTTTCGACTAAACTGTATCATAATAGCAACGTAAATTAAAATCATATAAAATCTTTTCAAGATTAAATACTTCAATAAATTCCAAGATGGTCATAGATCATACCTCTCTTCTTCCTCTTCCTCTTCCTCTTCCTCTTCCTCTCCTCTCCTCTGTTTGAAATCTAATATTTTCAGTGTGTAATGAACCGTGTAAGGGGTTAATTTCTCTGACCCAAAAAAAAATCCGGGTTATAGCTTATAGACCCATTTTATTTAAATTGTCAAATTACACTTAATCTCCTTTACTACGTAATACATGCGCGCGTTTGGAATACATGCACGCGTTTGGAGCGATGTTTTAAACGTTTTGTGTTATTATACTGTTATGAATTTAGATCATGAATAATTATCATAACAAAAAATAATAATTTTTTGATCTTTTAATTTTAGATAATTGTTTACGACGTGTTTTAGCATTATATAAAATAAATAAAAATGTCATACCAATATTTTTTTTTTTTTTTTTTTTGTCAAAATCGACAATACAGTAACCCAAAAACAAAAAGCATTTCAAACGGGCCTAAGATTTTTATGTGCTTACACATTGCTACTTGGATGCATAAGCTCTGTTTATATTAATTAAATTTAAGTTTCTCTCAATTTAAAATTAATTTTAATGTCATTCAATACTAGTTTGCAACTTTTTCTTTTAGGCTTCGTTTGGTTAGATGGAATCAACTAGAAAAAAAAAGGAAAAAGAAAAATTTTAAATTTTTTTATAATTTGGATAGATGAAAAAAGAATCGTAATAAAAAAAATACTTTCCCACATTAGGCTACTTTCTTCCAAAACTTTTTTGACACGAAACACGGGAAAATAATATTTTTTCGTGAAAATTGCTTCTTTTTATTTGAAATTCTTATTTTATCCAATAACTAAACCATGTAAAATAATTAATTTCTTTATTTTCTAACTTAGTTTCTTTTCTACTAGAGGCAAGTTTTTTAACAATTTATATTTTAGTGAACTCTAGAAGTCAACTTCTCTCTAAACATGTTCTCTTGCAATACTATTTGGACGATTTGTTTTTTTTTTTTTTTTTGTTCTAAATATATACATTGTATCATATATATTATACACCTCTATTATATAGATAAAGAATAAAATATATATATTTTTCTCTTTTTGTCTTCTTGGTTGAAAGTCCATGAGCCCAAATTTTTTTTTTTTTTTTAAGCTTCGTTATTTCTCTCAAATGAATAGATGGTTCTGCTTTTATAGTTCTACCTAAGAGGTCTTGAAATATTGTTTTAATTTAAACAATATAAATAATTATATTATAAAAATTTAATAATTCATCATTTTATTAAAACTTTGAATAAAATAAATATCATCAAACACAAATTTATTTATTTTTTTAGTAGTTGAAATCATAAGGGTAATTTTGGTATGCACAATCACTTTCTTTTCATTTTCATGTTATCCAAACTAACAAACTAATATTTTCATACAATTTTCTTGAATAAATTTTCAGGCTAACTAAATGTTTCATAGAAAATAACTTTTCTTTTTATTTACTTCACTTTTCTTTCATTTTCCATTTCTTTTCTTTTTTCGCTTATTTCTATCTAACTAAACGGAGCCTTAGGTTCTTCCCTATTACATAGTTCGATATGTATCGTCCTGATGCAAGAATTTTTATATCCTATTTGAAATAGAAAAACTTATATATTAATTAATTCCATTGTAGACCATACTCATGATCAATTTAATGGAATTATATGGTTCTTTATTGTCCAATTTCAATGCGATTTAAGATTTTATGAATAAGTAAAAAATATATTTACGTTAACTTCAATTTTTTTTCTAAATTTCCACTTAATTGTTAATGTCCAATTCAATTTCAAACCTTTCACTCATTAAAAAATATATATATATTTGTTATTAACCACATTGATTTTTCAAATAATACATCAACAATGATACTATTAAACCACCCTATTCAATATTTAATTTTAAAGTAAGAATGACAATTATAGTCTTGAACCACACATTTCGCATTTTCTAAACTTTATATCAAATTTTCTAATTTTATTCGTAGTGTTTTAATTAATGCATGTTGTAAAACATTTCAATAAAAATGGTGAAAACATGTTTGGTTGGTTCTGTTTTGTTTTGCATAGTTATAAATATTTCAATAAAAAGACTCAAAAACTGAAATACCAAAATGATGTTTTAACTTGTTTCAGCACTGTTCCCCATAATATTCACCGTAGCGGAGGAAACACCCTGCCCAACTTAAAACATACTTGCCCTAAGTATATAAACAAAGCTTATAACATTTTTGTTCATTTTGGACAACTACGATTCAAAGGCGATATCAGATTTCACCACCACCGATTGAAGTTAAGCCTTGCTGGTTTTGCTCAAATACAACACCTGTTGAAGCTATTGTGTTACTTTTCTTCGACCAACAGTCCAGGTTTGAGCCATTTTCGTTTCAGTTCCCGGAATATGTTTAAATCAGATGACGTTTCTTTGAGTTTTGTAGTTGAAAGTCCACATATGGAGCTCAATGTTGTTTGATTTGAGCTTGATTTTAAACTATGCTGATTTCTTTTGAAAACCATAATTTTCTCTTTCAATTTTTTTTGGAAAACGACGAGATTTTTTTTTTTTTTTGAGACAATGAAGCCTAATAAGTTTTTCTCATGATATAAAAAGGGTTTAACATTTTTTGGTAGACAATATAAAGTTAATTCTTTCTGATTTTTTGTTAATTTTTTTTTTTTTTTTTTTAATAAGTAAAACTGGAATCCATTAAAACACTGATTTATTGTTAATTACAAGGAGCTCAACTCATTGGCTTTTAAACAATAGCAGATCTTTCACTCTCAGAAGATCTCAACCATCATCGATCTACTCTCTCTGTTTTGCGCTTCTTCTTTTGGGATCACGATCGACTAAATTTCTCATTCACGGTTGACTGAATCTCTCTCTGTTCAGGTAAAGCTATGTATTTTCTGTCTAAGATTTATTTGTTATCAACTGATTTGCGCTTCTTCCTTTTATTTTATTTTTTTATAGAGATATTACTTGCATTTATCACTGGGGTGTATACTCTTGCTGTGATTATGGTATATGATACTGATTATCAATTAGTAACAGACAAGTGGCCTAGCGGTATCAAGTTTTTACTTTCCAAAATGAGGTCAGAGGTTCGAATCTTAGTGGAGACACATGTGTGTGTCAGTACCAATTAGGGAACTGATTGTCAATTATGAAATGAATGTTGCTTAACGCAGCTTAGATGAGACAAAGTTGTCGTACACAATATAAAATGGGAATAAATGTTGTTTAAGGCAGTTTAGATGAGATTAAGTTTTTATACGGAATATGAAGTTAAATCATCTACTTCCAACCTTCTAGATGTTGATATTTAGGTCTGTGTCCCTAAAATAAACACGCGCGCGCATATATATATAATAAGAAAGTATCAGCATTATCAAATGCTTTAGAGACTTTTCCCACCACAAACAGTTTGTCACAACTAGAATACTCCCTCCGTTCTATATTAATTGTCCGTATAAAAAATTTTGACTCATAATTTTTGTGAATCAAAGTTACCGAAATAGACATCTAATACGGAGTATAGGTAATATATAAGTATAAAAATTGAATATGACTAAAAATGATCTCAAAAGATTCAAAAATAAAAGGTAGTAGTGAGTTCAAATTTTTGCAATAGACAACTATTATGGGACGGAGATAGTAATTCATTGTAGAATAGTCATTGATGACTTTGTGTGATACTCCCCAATTTCGGAGACATGAGTTGATCGGGCCATTACACTTTGCAATTGTTGAAACTTATGGTAGTGAATCATGCCCATGTTCTCAGTTCCATTTCATTTTCCTTTATTTCTTTGTACAATGAAACCTCTAGAATATTGAAAGAATGCAACTAATATGTATGCTAAATGTCCATATCCAGTCAATTGCAACATTGTACTTGCAAAAACTAAAAGAAGTGGGAAATGGATAGTACCTTTGTCCATGTCTTGTCAATTAAACTTTACATTTGAATGATCCAATCAACTGCTTGTGCATTTGATGTTATGAAGCCTATAATTTTGTTTAAGAGACCTTTGACTTCTTGGTGTGTGTTGCATTGAGTTGCTTTTTAGTAATAGGCCATTGTAAAAAATGGCTAAAGGGGCAGTAGTTTTTTTTTTTAAGGTAAGTTAGATTGGAATTGATTTTTCAGTACAACTCAATTTGACAGTATCTTGCAGGTTTTCAGTGCAACTCATGTTTTATTCAAACCTTTTTTGTGGTTTGAGTAACTACAAGGAAAGTCTTCATATATAATTGCAGTGGAGCATTTTGCAACTAGGCATGCTTGTGCATTTTTAGGCATTTTGTTCTTCTTTTATTTTTTTTTTAAATGAATGTATAGTTTAAATGCATGTAACAATGAACTTATGATATCTCTATTTTAGAACAGTTGATGTAATTTATATAATTATCTCTTATTTGAATATGAGGATACAAGGATATTGGATTCAATTTCTTTTAGACATAAATTTTGTATTTGTATGGTGGCCATGAATGAATGAAAATTGTTTTGTAGTTTTCACAACCAATTAGATTTATGAATTTTTGTTCTCTGAAAATTGTTTTGTAGTTTTTCCAACCAAGCAGATTTTTAGACTCAAAAATCTGAAAACTATTTTCTGTTCTGATTCTCTAAAAATTATTCTCATAGTTACATTTCAAGCAAGGCCTAAGATTTGTATGTTCTTACACATTGCTATTTGGATGCGTAAGCTCTATTTATATTAATTACAATTTAAAATTAATTTTAATGTCATCCAATACTAGTTTGCAACTTTTTCTTTTAGGTTCTTCCCTGTTACATATTTCTATATATATATATCTTTCTGATGTAACAATGTTTATATCCTATTTGAAATAATCTTTCTCATGTAAGAATGTTTATCTCCGATGTGAAATAATTCTCCCTCCGGCCCTTTTATTACTTAAAGGGCTTACCATCTTTGATCTTGCTTAAAATTCAATACCACCTACCAGCTCTATCCAAATAATAAGTGTATAGTTTTTGACTAACTTATTTACCATGCTTGTCTGAAATAGAAAAACTTATGTATTAATTAATTCCATTCTAGACCATCCTCATGATCAATTTAATGGTGTTATATGGTTCTTTATTGTCGAATTTCAATGGGATTTAAAATTTTATGAATAGGTAAAATTTTTACTTACGTTAACTTCAATTTTTTACTAAATTTCCACTTAAGTGTTAATGTCCAATTCAATTTCAAACCTTTCACTTGTAAAAAAAAAGTTATTAACCACATTATTTTTCAAATAAATATCGACAATGATACTATTAAACCACATTATTCAATATTTAATTTTAAAGTAAGAATGACAATTATAGTCTTGAACAACATATTTCACAGTTTCTAAACTTTACATCAAATTTTCTAACTTTATTCTAAGTGTTTTAGAAAAAAAATAAAATAACGTGTAAATAATTTTTTAAACCATATCTAAAATTGTACTATTATATATAAATAATAATTTATTAATATATTTTGAAAATTTTAAAACAAAAAAACAAAAAACTCTGTACTAAACATGTTTCTTATTTTTATTTGACAACTGTCGGACCCTGCCAAACATGTTTTGTTTTCAAATATCTTGAAATAAAAGAATTTGCCAAACATGTTATGCATGTTTCTACTTTCGGAATTCCTACTGCAAATTTGCATTGCCAAACATGTTTTTGTTTTCAACTCAGAACACTCTAGAACAAAACACTTGTTTTGTTTCGGAATAAAACAAAACACAACGCGTACCAAATAGGGCCTTAGGGTTATATGTTATACGGTAATTTACAGTTACCTTCCCTATAGATAGGTTAAACTATGCCTCCATACCATCTAGTTTGGATAATTTCACTTACCTCTCTTAATTTTAAAAATTTAAAACAAATACACCCCTCCAGTCAGCCTCCAGCACAGTCAACACTGACATCATCGCTATCTCAAAATGACAATACTACTCCTAAAATGTATGTGAAGACATTTATGTCCTCCTTAAAGAACTCATATCCCATATATAGAGAGAGAGAGAGAGAGCTCCTTCCATCATGTTCAAGGTCCAGCACTCCATCTTCAAGCTCTGCCATCACGTTCAAGGTCAATCACTCTTGAAAACGTAGGCTAAGGTGTTGGCGATGAAGATATGGTAGTTGTTGCAGAAATCGACTTGAGAGATGATAATCATAACGTCGATGACGAACTATCTGATGGGTTTGCAGACGGCGAATTGTCTGATGGCTAGGGTTGTAGACAGTGAATTGTCTTGAAGATGGCAAAGCTAAGGTCGCCGAAGGAGACATTTTGGTGAAACCGTGGTGGGATTCGAATCGGCAACGAGTGTGGACGTGTAGCCGTGGTTTTCTCAAATTACATGATCTTCTCCTCTAATATGTGTGTGTGTATCTGGGTGTACGTCACTGTGTGTTTAAGAAAGAAAATTGATGGGGTTCTGATTAAGGGATATAGTGGATTCTGATTTCCTATCAAATTCTGTGTATACACACACACACATTGTGGAAAGCCCCAAATTGACCCAAGAAAGAACTAAGAATGTATCCATTGCTTTGAGCTCCAATTGGCCGATAACGACCTAGAACACGACGCAGAGTGAAACCCACCACCACAATCTTTGCACCGTCACCGCAACCACCATTAACACCGCCAAATGAAGGAACACAAAGAACCAAATTTCTCTACATTTTTAACCAGTCATGGTGGGGAAATAATCGATATTGGATTTTGGGTTTGTCAAATTTTGGGTTTTTGTAAGTGGGTTTTGATTTGTTATCGATTTCAACTATAAATAAACTTTTTTTCTCAACTGGGTCAGCTTTGGGATCTTGAGTATTCACAATAAAATTATTTGTGTAAAAGAATTGATGAGGAAGACGAAGATTCCTAACTTTCTCTCGCTACATTTTCTACTTTTTCTCTCTTGCTTTGTTAACCCTCTAATTGAATCATATTTTATATTACTAAACGTGCCATAGGCATAAAAGTAAATTTACAGTCAATATTTTTTGGACTAAATATGCATTAAAATAATGAGGATAGAAGAGTAATTTCATTACTCAGATCACCGGCTATGAAAGTCGGCCACTTACAGGGGGAGGTAAGCAAAATTATTCAAACTAAAGGGGATGCGGTCATAAGTTGACCTATCTGCAAGGGAGATAGATGTAATTATCCCTATGTTATAATATGTATATATATATATATATATACTCCTATATATTTATAAAAATAAATAAAAATGTATATAACGGGCCGGGTCGGGGCTTTATCAGAACCTGTCCGCCTTGTGAGCCGTGATGGGTTACAATATTTTACCTGTACCCACCCTTATGATATAAAAATAGTTTACATACCTGCATTTAATGGGGCAGAACGGGGCGGGCCCCGACGAGCGGGACAAATTGCCATCCCTAAAAAGGATCACTTGAAGACACGTGAGACTAAATCTAGCCTGTTACTTTTTCTTGTAGTCATTGTGCATAAGACAACTAACTAATAACTATAAATTTATTACCACCAACAAATAATTGTGCGTCTGTGCATTGTGCATAAGACAACTAACTACTAACTATAAATTTATCACCACCAGCAAATAATTGTGCGCCTGTACAGTGTGCATAAGACAATTAACTAATAACTATAAATCTATCACCACCAATAAATAATTGTACGTCTGTGCAGTGTGCTTAAGACAACTAACTAAAAACTATAAATTTTTATCACCACCAATAAATAATTGTGCGTCTGTGCAATTTGCATAAGACAACTAACTAATAACTATAAACCTATCACCACCAATAAATAATTGTGTGCATGTGCAGAGTGCATAAAACAGCTAACTAATAATAATAAATCTATCAATTAAAGAGTTCGAAATTTTCACAAGCACAAAATAAAAAATGAAGAGAACAGTTTACTAGCATGTAGAGAACAGAAAACTGCAGCTTCTTTTACATTCATTGTTTATATAGATACTAAAATTTGATGATTACAGATGACAAAAGTACGTGGAGATGAGGTGACTATATATATTATAGGAGGCTGAAGTTGTAGTACTGAAGAAGTAGTGGGACTTTTAGGTTATATGTGGCATCCACTATCATATATAGTTTTGTCTCTCACTCTTTTTATCAACTACACTACACCGACTTTGTGTGCGTTTTTTTGGGGAGCCAATTACCCCTTTCTTGATTTCAGGATGAGGAATTAACTTTAGTAGCCATGATTGATTGATCATTGCCACAGAAGACCTGTGCAAATTAATAGAAAATTCATCAACTGTTTTTTTGTTAAAGCCTGCTCTTGATTTCCATGTGTTTGTACATTCTGATTGCAAGTGCTTTGACAGTATTATTAACTGAAATTCTAGCTGAGCCAACTTCAAATAACTTCAATAATGGTGGTATGTGTCTTCATATAAAAATAAAATATAAAAAACCCTAATTTGGCACTTTTAAGTATGAGCATAATTTAGAGATCGAAAAAGTTAATTATTATATCAACGGCTCAACCCACTAGAAGGGATCCGTAGGATTGAATGTGAAAATGCAAAAAAATATGAGGAAAAGGGGTATGGTTGCTGCTGTTGTGAGATTGGAGTGGAATTAGGGAGAGTAAAAAAAAAAAAGTACCTGGAATAGATTATGCGCTCGATCGCCATGAAAGACACGTGTAGAAAGGCACACATCTATTAAAATACTAAGAGAACCATAATATACATTCATTCAGCTTTTGATAGCCATCAACACAGACACACAAAAAACCCTAGTTTGGAAGCTACTTTTCACTGTTGGAACAAAGGTAAAGGCCCGAATCAAACGAACCAAAATTAGAACAAATCAAATGATGAGATGAACGAAAGAAAGAAACATATATAAAAGATGGATTCATGCAAAAGGAGAGAGGAGAGAGAGAGAGAGGATGAAAATACCTTGTCACTTGAGGCGATAGCGGAGGCTGTGCCCTGCGGAGTGTCGAAGCAGATTGCGTCGTCTGAAACTTGCCCCAACTTAAATTTTTTATTTATTTTTTACATCCCCTATGGGCCTCAAAATTTGAAGCCTCTAAAATTTTAGGCCCAAGGCGACCAAGACTTGTCCTAACTTAATTTTTTTTTTTTTTTTGCTTTCCCTTACGGGCCTCAAAATTTGAGGCCCTCTAATATTTGTGACCCAAGGCGGCCGGCGCTGCCATCACCACGATCTTTGCACCGTCACCGCAACCACCATTAACACCGCTTAATGGACCAGAAAGACTCAAATTTCTCTACATTTTTAACCAGACATGGTGGGGAAATAATCGATTTTGGATTTTGGGTTTGCCAAATTTTCGGTTTTTGCAAGTAGGTTTTGATTTGTCATCGATTTCAGCTATGAAAAGGATCAGCTTTGGGATCTTGAGTACTCACACTGTTATTTGTATAGAAGAATTGATGAGGAAGACGAAGATTCCAAACTCTCTCTCTCTTGCTTTGTTAACCCTCTGATTGAATTAGATTTTATATTACTAAATGTGTAATGGGCATAAAAGTAAATTTGCACTCAATATTTTTTTTTTTGGGAGTAAATATGCATTAAGAGCATCTTATATATATATATTTGTGTAAATATGATGTGTCATGGTAGATCTACACAAAAAATTTGAATTATTTAATTTTAACTCCAACGGTTGTTTTGTACCTTTTGTGTAAAAATATATCTCCCAATAACATGTGTCATGCTAGGACCCACATAACTTTTACAAATTTACTTAATA